GGTCCTTGATGAGGAAAAAAGAATTTGGAAAGTGCTTTTCATATTCTACAAGATTTCCACAGCCTAGTTGCTTAAACTCTCTGGACCTTAATTAACTTTCTACAAGTAATAACAGGTGTATCTATTTCTCATTCACTAGTCATATATTTATTGTAGGACCAAATGGTTTTTAAGGCAAGGAAACCTCTTACTGCTAGAGAAAACATAACAATGAATTGGTAAGTTGTTTTGTAGCAATTTAGCTGAGTAGATGCAAAATAACTGGTGGGTAAAAAGAATCATACCTACTCTCAATCACTTGCTTTTTACTGTATGCAGGACTTGCTCTGGATGATCAGCACAGACAAGTGTTTGTGTTAGACTGGGCCAGCTAAAATGTTGTTTTCCAAGTATGTGAGTGCAGCTGCCTTGAAGAAATGTATCTCAGTAAAATCTCCAGTTCTCGAACATGGCTGTAATGGCTGTCTAAAAATAATACCTAACAAAGGCTGTCCTTCACAGGGGAAGCCAGAAATAACCTTTTTCCCTGTCAAAATGTATGGCTATTATCAGTTAATCTGCAAGCAGCAGCTTGACCCAGAGACCATGAAAGAGCTGACTTTCAAACATATTTTCTACGTAAGGAATCTTGAGCTTGGACTTCTCCCCAAAAAGATAATAAATACCATTCGCTTCAACTTTTTAGCCTCGGTTTTGTAACGAGCCGCGTCCCGCCTCCATCCGTTCCCTGGCCCCCGCGCTGGGCCGTTCGAACGTTGTACCAGGGACGCGCGGCGGGTTCGGGCTCGGGCCCGGCCGGTCCGGGCGGGAGCGCGGTCGCGGGGCCAGCGCGTTCCCGCCCCGAGCGGCTCGCTCGCTCCCTCCCTCCCCGCCCGCCTCTCCTCCTCCCCCCCGTCGGCGCAGCGCTGTGGTGAAGCCGCATTGTTTGTGCCGCGGGGGGAGGGGAGCCGCTCAGCCCCGGGAGCCGAGCGCCGAGCCCGCAGCCGGACGGCGACGCGCACCGCGCCTCACGAATGCGCCGCGCCCGGCGGGCGGGCGGAGAGGCGAGGCGAGCGCGGCGGTCTGGGGGAGGGAGGGAGGGCGCCGCTGGAGCTGTTTTGTCAGCCGCCATATTTGTGGGCCGAGTATTTTCGCGGCGGGGAGGGAGTGACTGTTGGGAAGGGCTGGAGATGATGGGCCCGGGCAGGAACCATCCTGCCGGGGGCCGGGAGGGGGGAGCCGCGCCGGGCAGGAACCATCGGCGGGAGGGGAGCGGGCGCGTTGGAGGCTCCCTGGGCGTGGGCAGGAAGTGTTGGCGCGGCACCGGCGAGGGCGGGCCCGGGGGCGTGGGCAGCCGCGCGCGGGAGGCAGGATTCCGGGATGGCTGCGGGAGCTGGCGGCGTGCGGGAGCTGGCGTCGGTGCGCTTTTTTCCGCCGGGCCGGGAGAGAACGGCTCTGGTGGTTCGCGTGTCTTGGCCGTGCCCGCGCACGTTCGCTGGGCTCCGTGAGCCCCCGCGCTGGGCCGTGCCCCGGGGAATCGCTCCTGCTGCGCGGCTGAAGCGGCGGGTGATGTCCACCCAGTGTGTGTAAGCACTGTTTGCTTACCGTCCCTCATTGTCTAGGACTAAAGAGTATTCTAGTGGCATTCCTGTGTCTTTCTCTTTTTAATGGTCTGCATGAAAGTGCCATTGAGAGTGGAATTCCCTAGTCCATTGAGCAGGGATCCAGGGACTAAAGACAGTTTATTTGAAGGGGAGGAGGAAAGTAACTAGGGCAGAGATTGTAATTTAGAAGTGCGTGGTATTGTTGGTTTTAGCTATCCTACACCTTGATAAATAGCTTTTTTTTCTTCTTCTTCTTCTCCTTTTTGTATCATACAATGTATTTGACAGAAACAGCTATCTCAGTATACTTCTTTTATGGGAAGGAAAAACGTCTGCTGGTGATTTCCTTCCCAAGTAGCTGATGCAACTTTAGGAGATGAGAGCTGTGGATAACTTTCCTGGTTTATATCCCACAGTCTTTGAGGGCAGGACAGTGCTAACAGAAGTGCATTAAAATAATTTTGTGTGCGGTTAGTGCAGTATCCTTGTGGTCATTGAATGGAAACTTGTCTTAGTTTATGCTTCAAATTTACATCTTGGTCCTTGTTCCTGTTGATCTACAGGATACTGGGAAGGGGGGCGGGGGTAGGAGGGAGAAATGCCAGCTGATAATTGCATAGGAAAGGCAAACCAGTTGTGGGTCATGAATTTGCTATGCAGAACTCTGATCTTCATCCGGAGTATTTATAGAACATTTGCAAACAGAAGAATTTGGGAGAAACAAAACACTGCTTTTGCCTCTAGGGCTTTAAACTTATTCACGCTAAATTTGCATGAAATTCGGCCTGAGTACTACCAGTTTCGATTCTGTATGCATTACATTGTATTTGTAGGGTATCCATTCTGTGTTTGAGACTGTAACTTTCTTCCTAAGTCAGCTGTATTTACTGTTAAGTTAGGTGTTACCTCAGTAATTTTTTTATCAGTCTGGTTCATACAGTTCGTTTTACTTTTGCAACAGCCGTCCGAAATCTTTAAGCAAGATTAAAGATCTTGTGCTTTTGAGTATTTTCTTCCTATTTTTAATTCCTGCCTGAAGCCATACTGGAGAATCTTGGGAACAGAGAGGGAGGGGGAGTGGAGAGCTTGGAAACATAGCATTAATGTGTTTTTCTGTGGTACTGGGCTAAGGTAGTGTGGACAAGTTACACGTGTTTTTGATTTCTGAAGGTCACCTCACATCCATCCCTCTGTATTTTTTCTGAAACAGTCTCTAACCTCAGGAGCCACTACGAACAGATACACAACCAGCTAAAATGTAGGAAGGGGCATTTAAAATACCAAAGCAGGCTTTTGCATCTAGACAGAATTGAAATGCAATTATACAAGGTAAACATTCTGTAAACCTAGGTTTTGATTGACAAGTAAATTGAGTCAATTCTGGACTGTAATAAGTTGCTGTACATGGACACATCAGTGTGTTTTAGCTGAAGAATCCATCATTACTTGTTCACATTAACAAATCAGGGCCATTGTAATACGTTTGGGTTTCTGAATTACTAAATCTGTATTGAAACTGGGAACTAATTTTTAATTTTGGTTAAATTACTAGTATGTTTTAGTGGTTGGACCTTCTTTGGCAGTATTAGTTGTTTAAACTGTTTTCTGCAGTTAAGAAACTAGTATGATTGAATCCTGTGTTGTTTTACAGAATTTAATTATTAAATGCTTCTTCCAAAGTTGTTTGAAGAAATGCAACCTTTTATATTCTTGTGCTGTTTATAAAGAGCAGAACAGAGATCTGTCAGGATTAAACACTGGCTGTTGTCTGGCTGTATGGTATAGAAACTAGTAATAAGGGTTAAGAATGGGTTGTGTAAAAGTCAGATTTATGAGAAGTGCAATTCTTGCATGAATAATAAAACTAGCTTAGATTATGAAAACAGAGTGTTTGTGAGAGCAGACAGATCAGAGCTTTTTGGGAACTAGTCTTAGGGTAAGTTGCCTGAGTGATGTAGTAGTCTTCCTGTGAAAGGAGTTCCTTCAGTGCTTTGAGGCTTTTAGGAATTGGCATCACAGACCTGAGCAAAAGGCAAGCAGCATGGAGTAAATAATGTAGTTAGTAATTCAGTGCTTGCTGTTTTCTTCCTGAAATAGAGATATTGGTCTTTTACAGCAATTGTGTTTTGATTTCTCTATTTTGGCAATAGATGCTAACACTAGTTGTGATATAGTGAGCAGTCCTGACTCAAAATTCAGAGCTGAAATGGTGAGGCCCTAATAATACTTTAGGCAGTGATTCAAGATGAAGGGTTTTTTATATAGCTGAGGTTGAATGATGCTATTTATTAATGATTTATTGGGAAGAAGGAAGGAGTGGAATAGAATTTTAGACTTGACAATGTCAGTCAGGTTTATAATATTTTCAAGATGTCAAAAGGCACGAGTATGTATGGAAGCTTTTAAATTAGAAGTTTTGTAACCATCCTAGTCACGGAGCTTCGGAGTGGGGGGAGAAAGCTATCTTCTTGTAAGGTATGTGATCTTTTTGCAGTAGGTTGTAAACCTAAAAATTGTTTTAAAGAGCTTAGGACTGGGTTTGTAAACAGGAGGATTTTTATCTATCAGCAGTTGGTCTGAGAACAGCTCCTGAAGAATCTGTTGAAGGAGAAGACTGTGTGTACTTAAAAGCAGGGAACATGTTTTGGCCCTAAGTCAAATCTGCTTTACAGGTGAAATATTTACTAGTTACAGTCCATACTGCACCATATTGGGCACTAAGAGTTCTGTCATGTTCTTGTCATGTTGTGAAGAATAATGGGCTCACTAAGGATTGAGGAAAGTAAAAAAAAAAAAAGTACAGGGCTGTCAAACTGCCCACTTGCCAAATGTGGAAGTATGTGTGCTTTTCTAGCTTTTAAAAATAGCCATAGTAGTTGAGTTGATAACATGAGTGTCTCAAATTGCACTGGAAGAAAATTCAGAGAAAACTCATTTTTCTTTCACAATTGCATTAGTTCTTTTGAAGAGAGGTCTAGAGGACATAATCTGTAGTTGTTGCAAAAATTTTCAAACTGCAGGCACCCCTAAGTTGTTAAGTATTGTATTAAAGGTTTTCTTACAAGGTAACAAATGTTTGGGGTTTTTTTTTTATCTGTGACTTATCTGAAATGTTTTTGTTCTCATGCAATGGTCTTGCCAACAGTGCTTCTAGAGGGTTTCTAGCAAGAATTTTGTATAGCTCTGTTTATTCAGGGAAGCTGTTACTTAGAAGATCTATTGATCTTCAAGTTAAACTTGTACAAGACTGAGCAGTCCTGTTGAGTAAGACTGACAGGATTTAGGGTTTGTGTACTTTTAGTTAAATATATGCATAGAGGGCTGTAGAACGGAAGGTTTTTTCCCTTACTACAGTAAAACTAATATTTTGATATAATTATTTGAAGTTTATAATATTAACAATTGCTCTGATTTTAGGTAAACATTACCAAATGAGGAGAAAAGGAAGATGCCATCGAGTATCGGCAGCAAGGCATTCTTCTTCCCCATGCAGTATTAAGCACTCCCCGACACGAGAAACCTTGACATATGCTCAAGCTCAAAGGATGGTTGAAATAGAAATTGAAGGTCGACTGCATAGGATCAGTATCTTTGATCCTTTAGAAATTATATTAGAAGATGATCTTACTGCCCAGGAAATGAGTGAATGCAACAGCAATAAAGAAAATAGTGAAAGACCACCAGTTTGTCTAAGAAGCAAACGGCATAAAAACAACAAAGTGAAAAAGAAAAATGAAGTTCTTCCAAGCTCACATGGTATACCTGCTACAACAGCTCCTCTTCCAGAACCAAAAGTACGGATTGTTGAATACAGTCCCCCTTCAGCTCCTCGGAGACCTCCAATTTATTACAAATTCATTGAGAAGTCAGCAGAAGAACTTGATAACGAAGTTGAGTATGACATGGATGAGGAAGATTATGCATGGTTAGAATTGATCAATGATAAGCGGAAGAGTGATGGAGTGTCAGTTGTTTCCCAAAATATGTTTGAATTCCTTATGGATAGATTTGAAAAAGAGTCTTATTGTGAGAACCAAAAACAGGGTGATCATCAGTCTTTAATTGATGAAGATGCAGTGTGTTGTATATGCATGGATGGTGAATGTCAGAACAGCAATGTGATCCTGTTTTGTGATATGTGTAATTTAGCAGTACATCAGGAATGCTATGGGGTGCCATATATACCTGAGGGCCAGTGGCTCTGCAGACACTGTTTGCAGTCCCGCTCTCGGCCTGTAGACTGTGTGCTGTGCCCAAACAAGGGAGGTGCCTTTAAAAAGACAGATGATGATCGTTGGGGACACGTGGTGTGTGCTCTGTGGATTCCAGAAGTTGGATTTGCCAATACGGTTTTTATTGAGCCAATTGATGGTGTCAGGAACATTCCCCCAGCCAGATGGAAGTTAACATGCTACCTCTGTAAACAGAAAGGTGTTGGTGCCTGCATCCAGTGCCACAAAGCAAACTGCTATACTGCATTCCATGTGACGTGTGCTCAAAAGGCTGGTCTGTATATGAAAATGGAACCTGTGAAAGAACTAACTGGCAGTGGAACAACGTTCTCTGTGAAAAAGACTGCCTATTGCGATGTACATACTCCACCAGGTTGCACACGGAGACCGCTCAATATTTATGGAGAAGCCGAAATCAAAAACGGTGTTTGTAGAAAGGAGGGATCAGTGAGAACTGCTAGGTCTACATCAAAAATCAGGAAAAAGACAAAAAAAGCCAAGAAAACAGTGGTTGAACCCTGTACAGTTATGCCAACAGTATCTGCTCCTTATATTCCCCCCCAGAGGTAAGCAAACCATCAAAATATGAGAAACCTATATTTAATCTATTTAATTTTCAACAAGGTCTTTTAAATGCCACCTTGAAGTTTTTGTACGTTTTTTATGTGCTTTCTTTAAAGGCCTTTTTCAGAGAACTGCTGTTAATTATGTACATTGTGCTTCTGTGGAGTTGCATTAAAAATGCAGTAACTTCCTCAGAGAAATTACTAAGTGATCAAGTGATTTGTCTTGTCCTCAGAACGTTTGGGTTGGGTTTTTTTGTTAGACTAAGTTACGTTGTGTGTTCACTTGTCATTCGCTGTACTTGTAAGAATTAACCGCTGAACTCAGAATAGTAGATGCAGTTGATCTTCATATTAAAGAAAAAAAGCCAAGCTCAAAGTTAACTTTATTTGTAATTTTGGATTCTGGGCTTCTCTTTCTAATTTTAAGAGATCCAAAATGAAAATTACAATTGTATATGGAAGTTTTGAATCTTGTTCATCTCACATAAATTAAGAATAAACTTGTAGTGTAATATCTACGTCAGTTTTACAAAAAACCTTCAAGGGTTTTCCTTGTATAGCAGAATAATTTCTCCTTAAGTGTTTCTGAAATTTATGTTTGTGTGTTTACAACACCAGTATATTTGTTTACCTCTTGAATTAAATTCCTACTAATTTAAGAGCAGTAGTTTGAAAGGTTTCTCAAATAGGCACCAGTTCCGTGTGCCGGCTCATTTCCTGTCCTGTGACCTGACTGAATGCACAAAAATGAGGGCTTTTAATATAATACTATGCCTTTTAAATAGCTGACTCCCAAGTCTCAGGTAGGGAGCAATTAAAGCTGGTTAAATTAATCTAAATAAATACGTGTTTAGAGACTGCAGTTCTTTCCTGTAACAAGTTTTGTTAATGTAAGAAGCTACTTATCGACTGACTTTGATAAACAGCCTTCAGCTCCCCTGTGATGTTTACAAACATCAGATTGATTTCTGTGTTAGGATTGGCTTGGTAAAATAGTTTTTTTGTTTAGTGATGCACTGCAGAAAAACTTTAGTTGACAATAGGCAACTAATACTGCTATTTAAACAGGAACTACTGTCCATGGAAGGGGGAAATTGGTGTAAAATAATTTGGCTTTCTCCTAAGTAGATAATCCCAATTGGTAGTATAGTGGTTTTATGTTTTGCTTTTTTGGGACACTGTAAGAAAGAATACGAACTAAGAGCTGAGAATTAGAAAGTATGTTCTTAGTTGTGCCTTTGGCAGCTCATTCCATTGGCCACTTTTAAAAAAAACAGACTCTAAAAAGATGCTATCATCAGATGGCTTTTTTAAAAATAGTCATTCGATGCCAGGAGCAAAAATACAACGACATTTTATTCTTTCTTTTCATGTTAATGATTGACTTTCTTTTCAAGACTGCAGAGAAATTCAGCATGCTTCTATTTATGCATCTCTTCATATTTCTAGAAACAAGTACAGTTCCTATACTGTATGTCATAAGTGTAAAAAGTGTACAGTTTAAAGGTATTTTAAAGCTCAGCTTTATTATAAATTGTTTTGTCTTTGGCTGAGGGAAACCCTTGCTTAAGTACTCTTTGTAACGTGAACATGTTCAGTCCTAGAAAACTGATCTCTGAATGAAAAATGAAACAAATGGCTGTATTAAAAGGAAAAGTGATTACACTGCAGACCCATATCTCTAGTTTTAGAACCAAAGTAGTCAAGTTTTCTTTGGCTTTTCTTCAGTTTTTGTCTTTAGGAAATACTCTTGCATTTCTGTAGGAATTAAGTACATACCCATAAATTATTAAAAAAATTATTTGGATCATTTCACAGTAGTCTTCATTTATGTTATTCTTTTTCTCTGATCTGTTTTTTAAATACTCCTTTTTTCCCTTGGAGCTGAAGCATGATTTTTCAGAAGCCTTGAGGAAGAGCAAATAAGCTATTTAAGTTACTAGAGAATAAATATATACACTCAGTGTTTAAACACTAGTGCTTTTTTACCTGAAGAATTTGATTTTAATATGTTTTCAACATCTCTGGAAATTGAGGCACTCGTGGAGATGCTTGGTTTGGATTGCTTTCTTAATTTCTAGGCTGTACGCCTCCTCAGCATATTGCTGGCTCTTCAGAGTTGGTAGTTGGAAGAGTGTACAAATATGAAGATCATAGTGGAGGAAAGTACGTGCTGGATGCAGCCCCTGAGTACATCTGGTGAAGCTTGAGGAAAACCATCTTGCAATTTTTATTCAGTTTAAGGAGAAGGATTTGTATCCTTTTCTGGATAGTGAGAGTATGTGAACAACTGAATATTTTAGTAACACAGCTTTTAATAATTCTATTGCAAATTTTCGCAATAGAAAAAATAGAAAAAAAAATAGAAAAAATTGCAAAAAATATCCTTTTTAAAAGTCTTTTTCAAATATCCTGAACATTAGTATAATTGCTTTTCCAAAGTAATTATCCTAATGTTCAGGATATTTTAAAAAGACCGGGTGTGGAACAGCATGCTTCATAATTTCTACCCAGCTTTTGTATCTTAAGAATTTCTGGATCAGCTTACCTTAGGTCAGTTTTCTGTGCTACTGCCTTGAATGACTTCAACCAGAACTTTTTACACAGATGTCATACTCTAAATGTTTTGCAGTTAAATTATATAGATAGTGTCATCTCTAGGTAATTTATAATCTAATTGTATGATCTCTCATATAATATGTATGAACTCTCAGACTTTGATCTGTGAACTGCTGATTTAGGGGTGCAGATACAAAGTTGCTAACCATTGATCCATTGATGATAGGAGATAAGTGCTTACCACCCCCAGCTCCTTTTTTTTCCCCTCTTTTTTTGTAATTTATTTTTAATGCTGAGCCTATATCTGTCCTGTTGCCTAGGTATTTTGGAAAGTTTATACCTGAGTATCTACTTCCAAAGGTACAGTAGTTCATGGTGCCTTAAGGTGGTTTCAGTTTTCAGTGCTGTCAATGCTGACTTGTGACTTGCTTAGCACTTGCAATAATGTATGGGACTACCAGGGAACTCTTATGCCTGGAGGATGTATATCAGACCTGACTACAGAGATGTGTTGTTTCTTTACTTGAAAATTCCATTCAGTTCATATTGAAATACCAAACTCCTGAATGTGGTGGCTTACACTGTACTGTTCATACTCATTAGCTTTTTTTGTTTGCCTGTTTTTGGTGGGCTTTTTTTGTTTGTCTGTTTTTTGGGTGTTTTGATTGTTTAAAGGTAGAAATGAGGATCATCTAAAAGTTGTGTTCCTGGGAAGTGCCAGAGCAGCTGTGCTGTGTAGTGAGGAAAGGGAGGGATGAACAGTACCTGCTCCTCTTGGCAAATGGTAGTCAGAAAGTAACTTCCCACTGCCACCAGCTAGTTTAGCTGAAAAAATGGCAAATTTGTTCTTGAAGTATAATATATGCCACCAGGGATGTATAATGGTTGAATTTTGCTTAGTAGAGAGATCCCCTCCGCCCCCAAAAAAATAAAATACCAGAAGGAATTTGTTTAGACTGCAGGTCCAGAATTTTCAAGTTACAAAATCCTAACTTTTAGGGTTCTCTTGGCAATCTAAATCTAGCTGCTTCTCTCTGACAATTACCTTGCACTGACTCTGTGCTCAATTTCTTGTGTGTTGTTTTTTGGGTTTTTTTTTTAATCTGCTGCTGCTCATCCTTGTCTTTTATAACTGTTACCTTATTCAGCAAGCAGGATGGGTACATGCAGAAGATGTGTTACAATGTTAGCTGGGAAAACTACATGGTTTTTCTTGTTTTTGAGTGCTTGATTCTCTAGTACAAATAGCATTGTTTTTGTGTAGCCTCTTGATCTTATGTGTCAAAAGAGGCATTTTAAAAATGTTTGCTTGTTAGCCAGTGTCAATATTCACGTTATTTTAAAATGCTGTGAAACTACAATATTGTAGCTATATACTTGGAGGGAAATAGAATGTGATATGAAATATTTAATCTTCAGTGTTTTAAAAGTATATGCTGAGATACAGTGTAATCTGCTTTATTAAAATGCCATTTGTGCAAGTATTGCTCTATGGAAGTTCTGCTTAAATGGAAGCTGGCATTAAAAGCATATAAATATTTGCTTTCATCTTTAGTTTCTCTTTCTGCAAACATGGCATGTTTGCTATGTCTAAAATAAAGAAAACATTTGAAATGCAATCCTGGTATAGAAAGCAAAGAATAAGTAAAAAAGCCCCATTTGTATTAGAAGTAGGAACACTGTTGTTTCATGAGGTGTATTGCATCATTGATGTTAAAAGGGAATTAAAAGATTATGAAAGTAAGGTAAGTAATAGCTGACAACTGAGAGCAAAAATTGCTGAGACTCTTACAAAAACATCTTCAGCTCTTCTGACAGATCAGCATTTATGTGCCCCACCTTAACTGATTTCTCTATGTTGATCTTTGGTTTATTAGGAGGAATACTGTGCTTGATAGTAAGCTGGATTTCTGTTACTGTGTCTCAAGGCAAAACCAGTATTTTCTTTTGGTTTATAATTTACCCAGTTGGACTATCCTGAACTTTCTTACCAAGTAATTAGATGTAGTCTTGTTATCTTAACACAGGAATCTTGATTGTCCCTTAAAGGAAATAAGGACCAGAAAAATAAATAATGAATAAACAAAGTGTTGAAATGCAGTATAAGGGAAAAGAAACATTAACAAAGCCTTCAAGATACTGTCAGTCTGCATTCACAGATGATACTTCGTATTCATATATATAGCTTGTGGATTTCTTTGGGGGATTTAAAAAAACATTTTTGGGGTACCCTGTTTTTTTTTTTAATACATTCAGAAAGTTTTCAAGGTCGGGGGGGAAAGAACAAGAAATGTGGCTTAAAATTCAGCATAAAAAAACTATTGAAAAATACTGCCGGGGCCAGCATTGCAAAGAACTTGGAAGCTGAATAAATCCAGACCAATGTCTGTTAGCTCTTTATCCTTGAATATACATGTATGTATATTTTACAGAATCATGTG